CAGTTTTATTAATGAACGCAGCGGTCCATCCAGGGGCCGGGTGTTCAGTTATGATAAGAGCCCAGTACCCAGCTAGTAGCTGCTTTTCAAAAAGGGTAGCTGTCTTGTTGTTTTTACCAGTTGCTGTCAAGTTAATTCCGACTCATGATGACCCCTGTGTGTCAGAGTAGCACTGTGCTCCATAGGATTTTCAATGGCCAATTTTTCAGAAGTAAATTGTCAGGCATTTTCTTTCAGAGTGTCTCTGGATAGACTTGAACCTCCAACCTTTTGGTTAGTAGCTGAGCTTGTTAATTGTTTACTCTACCCAGGGACTCCATACCAACCTTAGGCAGGTGGTTATCTGTAGGGTAGGAAGGGAAAAAGAAAGATGGGGTGAGCCTTTACTATGACTGTAATGATTTCTTAGCAATACTTTATTAAAATAAAAAACCTATAAAATAAACTCACTAATTTAAAAATTCATATTTTTTCTTAAAAATAAAGGAAAAAACCTAGTGTGAATGTGGCTGAATATTAACATCAGTTGTTTAATCCTCATGGTAAGATACAGAGGTGCTGTAATGATTTCTATACTTTTAAGCAAATCTGAACTATTTCATAATTCTAAGAAAAAGTGGGGAGAAGAACACTCATTACAGTCAAAGAGGGACGGCTGATGTAAAGGGCCTGAGTAGAGAAGGATCTTGTTGTTAGGTGCCGTCTACAACAGAACGAAACACTGCCTGGTCCTGCTCCATCCTCACAGTCGTTGCTATGCTTGAGCCCACTGTTGCAGCCACTGTGTCAATCCATATTGTTGAGGGTCTTCTTATTTTTTGCTGACCCTGCACTTTACCAAGCATGATGCCCTTCTCCAGGGACTGGTCCCTCCTGATAACATGTCCAAAGAATGGGAGATGAAGTCTTACCATCCTTGCTTCTAAGGAGCATTCTGGCTGCACTTCTTCTTAGACAGATTTGTTTGTTCTTTTGGCAGTCCCACAGTATATTCAATATTCTTCACCAACACTACAACTCCAAGACGTCAATTCTTCTTCAGTCTTCTTGTTCATTGTTTAGCTTTCACATGCATATGAGGTGATTGAAAACACCACGGCTTGGGTCAGGTGCACCTTACTCCTCAAAGTGACATCTTTGCTTTGTAACACTTTAAGGGATCTTTTGCAGCAGATTTGCCCAGTGCAATGCATCGTTTGATTTCTTGACTGCTGCTTCCATGGGCGTTGATTGTGGATCCAAGTAAAATGAAATCTTTGACAACTTCAGTCTTTTCTCCATTTATCATGATGTTGCTTATTGGTCCAGTTGTGAGGATTTTTGTTTTCTTTCAGTTGAGGTGTAATCTATCCTGAAGGATGTGGCCTTTGATCTTCATTAAGTGCTTTAAGTCCTCTACCCTTTCAGCAAGCAGGGTTGTGTCATCTGCATAACCCAGGTTGCTAATGAGTCTTCCTGAGATCCTGATGCCCTGTTCTTCTTCATATAGTCCAGCTTCTCAGATTGTTTGCTCAGCATACACTTTGAACAAGTAGGGAGGAAAGGATGCAACCCTGACACACACCTTTCTTGACTTTAAACCATGCAGTATCCCCTTGTTCTGTTTCAGCAACTGCCTCTTGGTCTATGTACAGGTTCTGCATGAGCACAGTTAAGTGCTCTGGAATTCCCATTCTTCATAAAGTTATCCGTAATTCGTTATGATCCACGTAGTCAGATGCCTTTGCATAGTTAATAAAGCACAGGTAAACATCTTTCTGGTATTCTCTGCTTTCAGCCAGGATCAGTCTGACATGAGCAGTGATATCCCTCGTTCATGTCCATTTCTGAACCTGGGTTGAATTTGTGGCTGTTCTCTGTTGATGTACTGCTGCAACCACTTTTGAATTTTCTTCAGCAAAATTTTACTTGTGTGTGATATTAATGATACTGTTTGATGATTTCCACATTCTGTTTGATCACCTTTCTTTGGAATAGGCACAAATACGGATCTCTTCCAGTTGGTTGGCCAGGTAGCTGTCTTCCAAATTTCTTGGCATAGACGAGTGAGCACTTCCAGTGCTGCATC